GAAGGAAAACTTCCCCAATTTGGTGAAGGAAATAGACATACAAGTCCAGGGAGCTCAAAAAGTCCCAAACAAGTTGGACCCATGGACGTTAACTAAATGCGGGGTCGGGGGATGCTGGCAGGGTTGGGGGAGTACTGGGCAGAGGGGGCTAAAGAGGAAAAAAGGAATGGGACAATTGTAATAACATAATCAATGCATTATACTTAAAAAATAAATAGTTGGAAAAATAAAAAAGTAAAAAAAAGAAATAATGTTTATTATTCCAATGGAGGGGGTGGGAGGAGCTGGTCTGAATAAGTTTAATTATGGTACTATTCATTAGAAAGCTTTGCAACTGTTAAAATTATTGTTCTTGAATTATATCAAGGGATTTGGGAAATAAGATCTCTCTCTCTCTTTCTATCTATATATCTATATTAACTTTGTGTTTTGCTTTCATTTATTTTTTGAAGAAAAGCTCTAACTCTAAAATCTTGGAAGTTCTTGAAGCACTCATTTTATGCCTAGCTCTTAGGAGCACATACCAGGGTTAGTGGGGCACAGGATCTTACCAAACACAGAATCACTGTAGTAGAAATCACACAGAGAAGTCTCCATGCACCATACTAAACATTCCCTCATACTGTTCTTTTTAATGTATGCTTTCTTGGGTGAATATTTAGTATACTATGTTAAATATAAGATGATTCTTCTTTTATACAGACTAAGTAAAGTTATTTATAATTTCCTCCTTCTAAAATTGGCAAGGTACTAAAGATAGTGTTTATCTTTCAGCTAGTTAGCATTTTGGGTAATCAGACAAACACAATAATCATCACAATCTAGAGCACAGTGTAAAAAAATTGATTTTTTTTTTTGTAAAATAATTATGGCAACACAAGTATAAAAAATGGATATTTTTCTGCGATACTTTAAAAAGTCTGATATATTTTTAAAAAATTTCCAGTAGGTCACACAGATAGTAAGGAAGAAAGTAAACTGTGGATTATTTTTTTAAAATTCCTATCCCCCCTCCTCTTTTCCCCTTTGGCAACCATCAGCTCATTCTCTCTATGTATGAGTCTGTTTCTGTTTTATTTGCTCATTTGTTTCATTTTTTAGATTCCACATAGTGAGATCAGATGGTTTTTGTCTTTCTATCTTATTTCACAGCACAATAATGTCTATGTCATCCATATTGTCGAAAATGGCAAGATTTCATTCTATTTTATGGCTGAGTAGTCTTCCATTGTATATATATACCACATCTTCTTTATTCACTTGTCTATTGATGGACACTTACGTTGCTTCTATATCTTGGCTATTGTAAATAATGCTGCAATGAACATAGGGGCACATATATCTTTTAAAGTAAGTGTTTATGTTTTCTTTGGATAATATATAAAAGTGGAATTGCTATATAATATGGCAACTGATTTTTAATTTTTTTTGAGGTAACTTCATACTGCCTTGCACAGTGGCTGCACCAATTTACAAACCCACCAACAGTGTATGAGGGTTCCCTTTTCTCTACATCCTCACCAGCACTTGCTATTTGTTGATTTATTGATGATAGCCATTTTGAGGGTTGTGAGGTAATAATTCATTGTGGTTTTAATTTGTATTTCCCTCATGATTAGTGATGTTGAGCAACTTTTCATACGTCTGTTGGCCATCTGTATGTCCTCTCTGGAGAAATGTTTATTCAGGTCCTCTGTCCTTTTTTAAATTGGATTAGATTATTTTTATATTAAGTTGTGTGAGTTCCTTATATATTTTGGATATTAACTCTTTATCAGATGTATCACTGGCAAATATCTTCTCCCATTCAGTAGACAAATATCTTCTCCCATTCAGTAGGCAGTCTTTTTGATGTAGTCTCATTTGTTTACTTTTTTTCTCTTGTTGCCCTTGACCAAAGATACATACCCAAAAAGTTATTGCTAAGACTAAAGAGTTTACCACCTATTTTTTCTTCTAGGAGTTTTATTGTTTCAGGTCCTAATTTCAAACCTCATTACATTTAAACTCATTTAAATGAGTTTATTTTTGTATATGGTGTAAGAAAATGGTCCAAAACTTACCAGATACATGTCCTGTTTTCCCAACACCTGGTGAAGACTTCAGGTTTGAATAATAAAATTCCAATTCTGTTTTAAAAGAATATGCACCTACATACTATAAAGCACAGAAAAATGTGTGAAAGGAAGGATTATCTCTAGTGGGTGAGACTGAAGAGGGCAAGGGTTTTGACATTTTATATTTTTCCACTGCCTGAACTTGCTACAGAAAACATATTATTTTTATTTTTAAAAAGGGAGTCATACAGGACTCCCTCATACAGGAAAATGACTGAAAGGATTTATTTTAAAAATGATCTCTGGGTCATTTTTGTTTTATAACATACTTTTTTATATTCTAAGATATATATGTAATACATCTACAATCAGAAAAAAAGTCATAAAAAGAAATAATCTATAATAACAATGGTATAATCAATTTTAAATCTGTTTGCAAAGCCAAAAGTTACATGGCTGGTGTTCTTTAAAGGGGTTTGGATCGAATTTCTTTTACTTCTTTGGGGCTCATGATTACTTTTATTGCTAGTGAAGCCATTTCCACATTTTAAAAAATGATTTCCATTCAATGTGGCCAAAAAGGAAAATTGAGGCCAACCACAAGGCAAGCCTTCCCAAGAGAAGACAAAAAGCCTCTGTAACCTGCAGAATAAAAACTTCACCAGTAGAATGTGACTCTTTTGTCATGAGTGATTTCAATTGCTGGTAGACAGAAATTTTTAATGAGAACAAAGAACATCAGAGCGATTTCAGTGCTCTGGTTGTCATTCCAGGCCAAGCACACTAGTAACTTTATATTACAATGATGAAGACAAAGAACAAGGTGTCCCATTCACCGTTAGGCTCCTGCAACCAGAGGGTCCCGGCTTTTGCAGAGCCTTTCACTGAAGTGGAAATGAGAAGGAACACTCAAGGAGCACAAGCAGGTAAATTATCATCAACCTCATAAAAAATGGCAGAAAATGGGTAAAGAGATGAAAAGATGCCATCTGATCATTTACCAATGGAAAGACGTGCACTAAATCAGGGTCTTTTCTGTCTGACGCTGTTGTTTTTACTGAACAGTTAAGCACCCAAGGAAATACCAGTTGGGTTTTAAAGACAATTTATAACTGAGTTGGCCTCCTTGCACCTGGCTGTGTTTTGACAGCAGGTTTCGTCAGTTTACAGCAGAGATTCTTGTCTACACAATAAGCTGTCACTAATGCAACTAGACCTCCCCCTTTTAATGAAAAGCAAAAGCCTCCTGCAAAAGCCTCCTGCTGGTGGCAAAACCTCAGCCTCTTCAGGGAAAATTAGGAGCCTCCTGAGAGTGAGAGGGTCAGCCCCAGTGTTACAGCCCTCGGGAGTGCGGCTGCTTCTGGGCACTGATGAAGGGCTCTTTCTATTTTCTTCCCTGGGGGCTAACTGCTCAACACAACGGACTTGTTGTTTGGAACCAGGAGACACGGGATTCTGCTTTCTCAGCTCCCAACTCCTCCCAGCTTGTAGACCACGCTAAGAATGTTACGGAACCTTGCAAGAGCCTGGCCTAGCACTAGGCAGCAGCTTTAGTGGTTGCCCCCCGCCCATCTAAAACAAGGGCAAGGCACAGCTATTTAGGATCAGACAGATCTAAACCTGTTTCCCTGAGATTTTTGTACCACTGCCTGGTTAGGAAGGTACCTTCTTATAAGGGATAGCAGCTTCATTTAATACATATGAGTTGAAAGCACTTGCCTCCCAGGACCAAGTGCTTACCCACCCGTGCTTTGTTTTGCCTTCGTAGGACTCAGGATTTTATTCTTTTTTTGTTTCCAGAAGGATCAGGCCAACCAAATAACTTTTAACAGGTGACCCCCAAGACAATGTGACCTTCTTAGGAATGAGCTCATGGTGGCTGGGGCCAACATTTTCCCCTGCATGGTAGGACAGGACAAAGATGTAAGGAAAGGGATGAAAAGGTAATGGAGAACAGCCCTGCCTGTTTCTTAATTTCATGGTTCACAGACATTCATTGACATTCAGACACTCCCAAGGGGAAGCTCATATAACCAGCCATGAAACCAGAAACGAGCAGGCTAACGGGGCTAACGGGTCCAGGGCGGTTTCTCACCATCATGGGCCACTCCCAGGCTGCAGCCTCTGTGTTGGGTCTGCAGTTACACCAGGGCACCCCACTGGGAGCCTGCGGGGTCCTTGGACCAGCCGCACCCCGGATGCCCCCCTGGGACCTCTCAGGGCCCAGGCTCTAGTGATAGGCAGCATGTGGGCTGGTGAGGGGCCAGCACTGCCCTTTCAGCTGCAGGAAGCTCAGGCCTGGGGAGGGTGGATGGGAGAGGAGGCTCTAGGCTGGGTGACTCCCAGGAAGCTTGGGCTGGCTGGGAACCGTCTCTCCCTCAAAGTCGCCCAGGGGCTGAAAGGGAGGGAGAAAGTAAAACTTTCACTAGGGACAGGTCCCCGTGTCTAAGACAGACAAATGAACCTTGATGGCCATTCAGATGAGAAGCCAGCCTGAGGAAAGGATGCAGAAATTGAGAAAGAAATCAAGGGGCAGCAGCACGGGGAAATGATGGAGAAACCATGAGTTGGACAGATCAGAGGAAAGCTTCAGGCTATATCCAAAGAACAGAGCTGGAGTTCCAGCTGCAAATCCACTGGTGGCACTCAACTGTGTCCTGGTGACCCCACCCAAAATATACATGCTTTGCAAGAGCTCATTTACACACAGGGCCAAGCAGCACATCTGCCATGACATAGGTCCCCTGAGGCAGAGGCCCGACGACAGTCTGAAAACAGTGGGAAGCCATCATTTTTCTGACTTAGAGGTACTCCAACTCAGGAAAATGATTACTTTTATACGTATAAATATAGAAATAAGTTACTGTCGTGACTGATGCACTGAGTGGCGAGCATCAGTCCTCTCCCCTCCCTCCCCTGAGGCAGTGACCCGGAGCTGCTCACCTGCGGTAGCCCAGAACTCTCAAGCCAGTCTCGGAAGATGTTTTCAACAGACAGATCAAGCCTTTTAAGATAAAAACAACAAAAAAAAAAAAACAGCAAAAAGTAAAGGTTAAAACTTATAGAGCACTGATGACAGAAGGGTCTTTCCAAATATTCAAGGGCATTACAGCACCGATATTCCCAAGAAGTACCTGTTCCCTAGAGGACAACCACAGCTGTTCCAGCCTAAAGTGTGGAAAGAGGGTGCAGTGGAAGGGGGCACAGTCACACTCAGACAGCTTGTCTTCAGGCAGCAGAATGAAATCTAAAACTGAGGCAGACCACGATAGGTGCCTTTATTGCTCTGACAGGACCATTTGGGCTGGGAGCCAATTCAGGGTGGACTGGGCATGTTCATAAGACACATTAGGCATGGTCGCCTCCTAAGAATGGGACAAAATGAAACCTGAACATTAATGCAGCACTTAGTACATCCAAATGAAATTCAAACTTTATAGTGACAGTGAGCTATGACAAGCAAAAATGGCACAAAGCACTGTGGGGGTGCAGGAAGGCTCAGATGCACAGAGCATGCGAAGCCTCCACAGCCTCTGCTTTCAAGTGGACCCACGTTCTGCTTTATTTGAAATATTATGACTTGTCCAGAGTCAGCTGAAATCCTTTTGGTCTCATGCCCTGCTGATTTGAATTCTCCTTAAATGTACTAAATATCTAGTAAACTGAGGATCAATGGACTTTAAGTTGTGTCTTCCTGAAGTTTAAAGCAAATCCTCATGCTTCTAGATAACTTCTGCTTATAGCCAGTTTCTCCATTCACAGGGTCCTTCCTTGAGCCCTCTCCCAGGCTGTATGTGGCATACCCGCCATGCTGCCTGTCTTCTGTGTGACAGCACCCAACATGACTTGTGACATTGATCTATTTGATTACTTGACTTTTAACTGTCTCTTGCTAGATTGGAGCTCTCTGAGATCAGGGTCCGCGCCTGTTTTACTCATTTCCTAAACCCAGAATTGAAAGAGGTCTTGGCTTAAAAGAAGATCTCTATAAATAATTTTTATTTGAATGAAAACACATTTCACTACTGATACAATAAAAATTGTTTCTTTTTAAGATAATAATCACCTTTCCCAGGAAGATATCCCCAAGTTTTTAAGATGTGTATCTTTATTTTATTTTATATATTATAGACTACATTTTCTATGTATTAACATCCCCTTTCACCCTCCCTTTTGGAACTGTGAAAGAAGTTATGGAAAGATACATGCTGTCTCCATTAGTTAAGGTGCTGAAGGCCCAGTGCTCCGCTCACCTAATGGGTTTTGCTGCAGGTGGACACAGTGAGAAAGAGAGGGAGAGAGGGAGAGGGGGAGAGGGGGCAGGGGGAGAGGGAGAGGGAGCAGGGGGCCTTGGTTGGGAAAGGAAGGAGGCTGACTGGTACTTTCCCATCCTTTTCTTTCCCAGGGAGAAGAATGTCACTGGCGCATTTTGCCTTCCCTGGCCAAGGCAAAAGCAAAGGTGGCTCAAAGAGGTGACTGTTGCTTTTCTTTCTAAACAGAAAAAATACACAGAGGGAAAGACAATGAAGAGAAAGTGCTTTAGATTAATTTTCAAGATGATGCCAATCAGTGGGACAACAGGCCAGGGAAGGGGAGAGAACATAAATAAATCTGGGGAAAATGGCAGCTTCCAGAGGATGATGGTCCAGATTCCCAAATTCAATGGGGCTACTGGACATGTCTTGTATGAAAGCCTCTGTCCCTGAGCCTTTCCCCTACTTCTTTGTTGTCATTTAACAGTATCAATATCAGTGTGAATGGCCACATCCACTCTGTAAGCTGTGAGAGTGGGGACGTGTGTGCACACTCACATATCTTCATGAATGTATGCACCCCTGTGCCTGTGTGTGCTCGTGCATGCTCATGTGCCTGTAGGGGCCTGTGTGTGCTTTGCATTGCATGCATTCATGTGCTCATGTGCCTAAGTGTGCACTTAGGTGTGCATGTATGTGTGCATTCATGTGCCTGTGTGCACACTTGTGTGCATGTGTGCACAAACTCGTGTATGTTCATGCACATGTGCACTCATGTGCCTGTGTGTGCGCTTGTGTGTGCACTCATGTGCCTGTTTGAGTGTGTGCATGCTCATGTGCATGGCATGTACGTGTGTGTCATGTGCCTATTTGTGTGTGTGTCTGCACACACACTGGGGGGACGTGGGGGTGACTGGGTGTGAGGAAGCAGCTCTCAGAGGACCTTATACCAAGATCACGATCCTTTCTTGAACTTGATTTATTTGATGGGCTGCAGGAGAGGCACTGGAAACACCCTTAATTGGCATAATTGCACTGCCAGGAGGAAGAAAGTGGGCCAAACGGGCCACTTCAAGTGTCCAAGGAGACTTGAAGTTGTTATCTAGTGAAGAGTGTGAGGCAAGAAGGTAAGATATACCTTATAATTTCCATTGAAGACAAGATGTTTAATGAAGGTCTGCTCTTGTTTGGGATGAATGCAGACCATCCCCAGCTTGTCTGGCACCTGGGAGGGCAGGTAATTTGTTCAGGTCAAGCTCCTGCCCCAAGACCTGAGTGGCTGTGGAGACTCTGCAGGCTCTACACTGTCTGCCCTGATCTAGAGGCAAGGTCCTACATTCTTCCCTATCCTTCCTTCACTGGTGCTTCTCTCTAAGAAGCCATTGATTTGCTTCCTTTCTAGCCAGAGAGGGACACTCCTGTGTCCTGAGCCCTGGGGCCAAAAGCTCTGGCCACACAACATTCAAGGGGTACTCAGGAAATCCATAGCAAGAGGCTGACTCTGACTTGAGGTTCACTGTGCTGTGGCACTCCAGGAAAATGGCATTCTTAAACCTTCTTCAACTTGAGAGGAAGATGGAGAATGTAGAAACAATGTCAAAAAGAGCAGGGTGATGGTCAAAGAGGTAAAGCACACTAGATCCATGAGGGAGGTCAAGGGAAATGGGATTAAATATCCTGAAGAAGAGAAGTCTGGGGAGTGACTTCATAGTCATTTCCAAAGATTTTACAAAAGATGGTAAACAGCTGTTATGCACCCCATGGAGGAGTACAGAAGAGGACGGGGATGTAAATTTCCTTCAGGGAATTTTAGCTTGAAGACAATTCTTTAGGGGTGGCTTGAGGAGAGGCTGGGGATTTGAGTGCTGGAATGTTATTACTGACTGATAGGCTGAGAACAGGCAGAAACTTCTCTGTGTGGCAGACATTTGGTGGATGCCTCCTGAGCACAAGGTTCTGTGGAAGGCAGAGATGGGAAACCCTACAGCAAGGATTTCTGAAAGGGACATATGAGGACACAAGTCAGAATGCAGCCTGTGCTGGTTGAGAGATGTGGGACCCGATGTATGTGGAAGAGGCTCTGACTGTTTCAGGTGGGGCAGCCAGAAGGAGATGCATTAGGAAAATGTTCTTAAAAAGGGCAAGGCTTGAACTGTCATGGAGGAAGGCTGTGCTGTCACAAATGATGGGGCAGGACCAGTAGAAATGGAAGGCAAGCACAGGCAAGACTAAGAGGGCAGAGTGAGGAAAGCTCAAAGCCACTGTCAGAGAGACAAAAGAAATGGAATGTCCTGTGAAGACCCTGAAGTCCTGCCATTGAACTTTGGCTCCATCAAGGAGGCTCTGAAGCAAGGCTGCAGAATAGCAAGAAAAGAACATAGTCAAGGAAGAATACCTGAGGGAGACCAAAGGCGAAGCTGTGAATGTGTTTAAATGAGAGGTGATGAGAGGGGGTTTAAATGGAGTTGGGACACCAGGGATGAAAGTAGAATGCAGACAATGGGCCACATCACCCTCTGCAGGATGAGTTTCCACAACATGTAAATGCCCATGTATAGTCCATACTAGAGTCTACAACACTGAACAGTTGGCCAGGCCAACTGTAAGGGTTATTTCATGGGAAAATAGTAAGTCAAATTTTGCTTAGCCATGTTCAGTGTTTGCACACACAGATATTATTAGACAGTGATGCTAAAAACAAAAGAGACTCCTCTGTCCACTGTCAACAAAGGTATAAGAGGAGTTGCTATTGATCTGGTCAAGATGGTGGCATAGGTTAAGACAGTACTAGCATCCTCCAACAGCCACATCAATATTACAATTAAACTACCGAACAACCATCATTCAGAACTGCCTGAAGTCTAGCTCAACAGAGGTCCTATAACTAAAGATATATTTTAAAAAAAAAAAGACACATCAAGACTAGTAGGAAGGGTAGAGATGTGGAACGGGCTGGTCCCACACCCATGTGTAGTAGTTAAAAATTGGGAAGGATATCTTGGCTGTGGATGCCCATCCTGAGGAGCCAGGGTTCCCAGTTCTACACTAGGCTCAGAGTTCCAGCACCAGGAAGAGAAGTCCTCATAACTTCTGCTGTAAAAACTAGCCAGGATTGCGCTGAGTGAGATGGAGGGCTGCTGGAATCCAAGGTGTTCCTTTTGAAGGGCCCGAGTACAGACTTACTTGCTGACAGAATAATGCTCTGAGCAGCAGCACTGGGGCAGCAGCTGAAAGGTGTCAGGGACATATGAGGAGGAACTAAATTGTTTAGCCTCAGGGTGAGAGCTGAAGGAGCACCTTACTCCAAGAAAGAAGTGCTAGCAGAGGCCATTGTCTCTTTGCTGAGTCCTTGTCCCACGAAGCTTACAGGCAGGTGCCATATCTGAGACTCCATCATTCTGGCTAACACTGTTTGCCCCTGCTCTGGTAATTCCCTGAAACCCTGGCCCATCCAACATACAGCCCCACCCAAAATCTTTCTAGTGGCTTTTCCATACAAATGACTTGTCTTGGCGCATGCTGCTGACTTTCCTAAAATCTCTCAAGCAAGCAACATCTGGTTTCTGTATTCCGCATACATGTTGCTAAGTAGCCCCAAGCCCAACACTAGTGGCGGCTGGCATTGTTTCATAGCTTAGCTTCTTCTGGTCATCTCCAAGCCCAGCAAAAATAGCAGCCATCTGCAGATCACTTTGTAGTTCATGTAGGGTGGCCCCAGGTGGGGCACAGGGCGCAGCTGATCTTGGACTGC